CAAGGGGTGAATTATAGCGCCCAGACGGAAAGCGAAGATGTTAAAAAGTGTCGAGAAATAACGAAATTACCAGCAAACAGCAAAAAAAGAATGTGGAATCCAGAAATCTGCTTGAACGTAAACATGATTCACAAGATCAACAGCCGTAAAATAAGATGTGGTGGTCGTAAGATAGTTACAGACGACACACCGCAGATGAAACAAAACGTCCTACTTAGCTAATAGTTTAAAGGTTGTTTTGTAACGATTTATTCTATTTATACGGCGGAAATCAGTGGGAGAATCGCACTGGAATAAAGACTGATTTGTGTCTTGTACAGAAAGCTCAGTCCTCCCTCGAAGCTCACCAAGCTTAACCCACTGGAATCTTTTAGATGTCAAGAGATCTTTAAAGTTTTTTCAAAAAAAAAAACAGCATATCAATACAAACAGCATATCAATACCTACATAGTAGTTAACATAGTACAATTTAGGAGAAAGACAGTGAGAGAGGGTTTCTCAAGATGAAAACCCCTGGCTTCGGGATAAGAGTCACAGGCTGTACTTCCAGAGTTGTAAGGTCTTCTAAGGGGTATAACCCTTTGAACAAGCAAGCTGCTTCGCCCCGGCTTATCTGGGGACATGAGGAGGCACAGAGAAGCTCAAACAAAATTCTATGATGATGGAGTCTGGTCCTGAAGTGGCACAAGTCCAATAAAGTTAAAATAAGTCAGTAACTAGGATCAAACAATTAAGTATCAAATCAAATCTGCTCAAGTAGATCGGCATGCTACTCTTAAGATAGAGGAGTTTAAGTATTTTACTCTTTGACAACGTCAATCATCCAGCAAAATAAAAAGTTTATAATTTTCGAATTGAAAGAAGTGTAACAAACAATTACAAATCAAGGCAAACCAGAGAAAAACAACGAATATTATCCATAGGGGCATAGAAACTAGCTTATAATGGCTGAACAGGCAGCAACGTAACGCTACAGCTGGCTGCGCTTGATTAAATTCAATCCTACTGTCACCTTAGAGCTGAACCATACACTACTGCAAACTTGCAGTACCTTTTCTCGATTGACGACAGCTTTTAGTGGATACTTCTTTCGTATACTAACATTAGGGCAATAAATGTTACTATTATAATGCTTAAAACAAGTTTAAAAGAGACCAATGGATAGCTGCGATCGCTTGTTATAAATAAACGGATTTGGGCTTAATCAGTCTGAAGCATTCGACTAAAATTCAGACTCGTAGTGGTGGAGTGAATGCATATGTGCCCTATACAATGACTTGCGGTGGACAGCCGATGTACAAGTCAGTGCCTTTAACCTCCCGGTTGAGTCTGGCGCTAATTAACCAACCCCCGAGGGATAGAAGCGTTGGTAGGTCTATGCGGATAACGATCCGGTACTCGAACCCGGTGACCATGCGTTGTGACTTGAGTTTGCCACTTGCCACTACACCAACTCCGCCCCATATACATATTATACAACTTATTTTTTTGCCCATATCTGAACTACTAGATTAGCAAAAACGCGCAAAGTGGATGAGATTCCAAAAAAATGTCCCTGTACCATGTGTAGGGTACTTCGACCCTTCGACCTTCGACCTACCTCACCCACGTCAGTAAAGAAGTTAGTACAAGACGTCAGTTAGTATTATGCTAATATTGACAGAGCCATTCGTCGAAATTTGGAGACTACATCTTATAGGTGGTGGAATCGGATTTTGTGTTGTTTGTGGACCAGAGATAGACTCATAACCTATTTCTTTCGCTCGACCACCCTTTCAGTTATGTAAATTTTATTTGCCTCGAGGCACAAGACACTTTGGCACTCCCGTCTTTCCCATGATAATCCTCTGCTTTCGGATTCATTCTGAGCAAGCTAGCCAATGATCTCTTTGCAACCGAACAATACAGTCAACCAAAAACTTTTGAAAAATGAAGGCCTTGAAGAGAAATCAGTAACAGTTGAATGAACAGAAATTACGGGCAGTACAACACAAATTGAGCATAGAATCTCTGACAGGAAAAACATGATAGTTGACGCTTACGATCGTCGACCTCTTCGTGGTGTTCTCAAATCTGAACTGCTACGTGACGATTGTAGAGATAGGCCATTGAGAGTACTGCCAAGGCTTTCAACTGATGAATGCCTGAAAAATTACATAAAACTAATAAGGTCTACCTCGTTAGTGGCTCCTGGAAGGTAAAGAGTTTTCTGGTATCTGAGCTGAGCGCAAAGAATTAGACCCTGGTGATACTGGGAATGCGCCACACATGAGACCCTTATCCGTAATCGTTGTGATTTTTGAACGGGTCACCGAATGAATGCAAGGATCTTCCGTACTACTCGGTAGGGCAGAAAATCGGTGCATTTTTCGAATTTTAAGAATTTCACATTTTTTTTTTGGGATGTCCTATCGAAAAATCTGTAAATCTTTGATGCCAAAAGTAAGAAAGTGTATGATTTATTTCATAACAATAAATAACAACGCAAATACCAAGGTTAAGGCTGTAATTTTTAAGGACACTTGTGAGCGAAGGCAACGAATGCAAGTGATTTAGAATGAATTGGTTAGAGACGTCAAGGTCTACACTGGAAAAACGAGTACTTCAGCCAGGCCTTTCTTCTACAGCGATTACTAATGCCTTTGATCAAATTTGATGTTCTTCTTGGATGTGGGTTGTCTGCGAGATCGGGTCAATTTCTTTGACACATATGAGCCACCTTTGAAGTCTGTCGTTTGGACTGCGACTGGATCTTCTCCCTGAATACTGCAAGTTTCTAGCTCCACTTCAGTTACCCCTATCAAACTGTGGGCCCCTGAAGCGAGGTGTCGTTTTAAGCCATTGTGAACAACACCTTGAGTAAGGTTTTGCTTTTTTGACTTCATGATAAGCAAGACGAGACTTTTTGTACTTCTAATGTTCACCATCCAGAAAAGCCTTAGTGAACGCAGGGACTTTTCATCTAGTTGAACTCATTAATTCTCCCCTTCCCACTCCACAACCGTGTCCATCTTACTTAATCGCACAATGACAACAAGCCAGCGCTTTCAAAGGTTTCCAAAAAGGAAGCGAGCAACAGCCCCACAGAAACTTAGCGGTATAAAGAAAATAACTATGCTGGGAATAGTCGATTTCTAACCTTGTTTTCTTTTTATTTCAATGCAAAATTCTGCGCATTTGAGAAGAAGGGTCGAAATGAAACGTGAAATGAATGAAATTAAAACATACGACCTATGAGTAGCGAGAGCTGTTAACCCTAATTTCTTCAACCTTTGCCAGTATGCTGCCACATCCATTCCGCTCCAGCCAGCATTTTCAAGTCGGTCAAAGTACCTAAAAGTGAACTAACATTTTCCTTTAAGGTGGGTACTTCATTTTCGAAAAACTTTTCGAATACCAAACTCGTGGCTTAGAACAGTATGGGAATATTACATTAATCAGTTAACCAAAGCATACTACGGAAACAATTGGGAGTTTCAGTTAAAAAAATTAAAGAAGGTAAAAATCGCGAGAGATCCTTCAGTTACTCACCTACCTCAACGGACTTACAAATCCTGTCCTTCAAACCTACTAATTATTTTCGCCAATTTTGAGACAACTGTCAACTAAGAGAACGTAGAACTGTACATGGGGTTGGACCGCTATCAGAAACTCTCTACCTTTACAAAGAACGCCTTTACAATATTCTTAGCATGTCCTCCAGCCCTGTCTAATGGCTCCCATTCCAGTATAATTATGAACCTCCGCGTGGAGCTCCTGGGCAACGCCCAAAGAGTTTCACAAACAGATCAACCGACAACATTCAGCGTACCTTCGCATAATTCGATCTCGCACTCGTTGTTCCACATCAGTGAGAGGAGTCGTTGTACACAGTGCAATATTGTCGCGAACCTGAGAAGCATAGCCGCTTTTAAAATACTCATAGCTCCTAAAGTTCTAGCTGTTCGATAGCCCAACCTTCAGTACAAGAGCATAATCCAGAGAGAAAGAGAAAATACCAAAGAGAAAGAGTGAAAAAGTTAAAAGAAAAGAAAAAAGGTTTTAAGTAAAAACTGTGTAGTACACAGATATGATGACAATTCGAACCCTCGCTTGATTAGAAATAGCGCATGTGTAGGTGAAGAGTCGGCTCCTCATTCGATGAGCTTCAGTCCTGCCCTGAGATTCTTCGTTTCTTGATTTCTTAATGGGTTTCGGAACTCTTCAGTGGAGAATGGCTGTATGGTAAGGTATTCCTCCGATCTTTAGTTTTCATCCTCGACACTTATGTCCCTATCTTATGTCTGACCTCCTGCAATAAGCGTACATGCTACAGAGGAAATTATTGGACACAAAATGAATACGTCATAATAGGTAGATGAGTCGAGATGAATTCAGGGTCAGCGTTCTCCTATATATAGCCTACCCTACCCTTATGCTCTCCAGTGTGCATGACTACGCAACTTTTGATAGGATCGACTCGAAACTACTGTGAGGATGCTAAGTAGGTGAAGTAGGTGCTTCCCCGCTAGTAGGGCATCGCTTTCAGTCTTGGGAGAAAGTGTTGAAGTAGTATGTAACATAGATGAGTTTCCCAATTCTTCTGAAAGCCGGCTTCCTCTACCACAGTTAGAAGTTGAGTCGGTGTAGTGGAGTTGGGAAGTTTGATGTGTCTTACTTTACGATTTCCTTGCAAGTGAAAATCTCCCACACACTTGAATGAAGTCAAAGAGTTTCATAGACAGTTATAAGTTTTCATTTCTCCTATTTTTAAAGTAAATAAACAAGTGATAAGAAAGTAACGATTCTGTGAGGAAAATGGTATAATCCAAAAAAGTAGAAAAATAAGAGTAGAAAAATAATGAACCTGTTGTATGCTGTCCATTCCAACAACACATGCTGAACAGCCAGGTACTTCGAGAGCATAAGACAGAGCTAGCTTTGAAATTGAGATGTTCTTTGACTGAAAGATGGCATGTGTAAGGTCATTACTGGATTCTTCTGTAAAATCCGGTTGTTCTCCCTAAGCAAAAGAAGATTATGTGGTATAGTGTTAATCAGCGTCGCTACCACATGCATGTCCCGGCCAACCAGTGTGGATCAAGGCCCGACCAGACCAAGCATGCATTAATTCCCTTCGAGGTCAGTTACTTGGAAATAGATTCATTTCAAGGATGGAAGCATTGATTTGTTCATCGGTTAGCTGCAGCAATTTGTTGTGCATAGGCAACAAACGCAGCAATCATACTTAATCGAAGTCAAATGCAAGGGCGCGTCCCAAAACGGAATTGATCGGTCTTGTAAAAAATGAATAAAAAGGAAAAAATATAACAAAGAAAGAGAGTCGTACTTTATCTTTACTACTCGGAACGCACTATAGCTTTTGCGCATTAATTCTAATCAGGTATATTTTAAACAATTTCCAACTTACCATGCAATAGTGCGTAGCCGCCAGACAAGCTTCCTTAATGAAATCGGCTGCTGGATGCCACGGAGGCGGACCTCGTTCTGTGAGCAGACCCATTGATAAAGGAGAGCCATTCAGGATACCGACTCCTTGTCTCTAAATGAACAACATCTATTCTTCACCAAATTTATCCAAAGCGAGTTCGATGTAAGTGAAAAGTCACACCGCTACAGTATCGTGCCCATTGGTAAGGAATCGAATTTGAGATTTATACCCGCTCGGGGAACCGAGGTAGTTATGGGGTCTAAAAGTTGANGGGGGGGGGGGGGGGGGGCTGATTAAACACTGGGCAACCTACAAATTCAAATAACGCATGCGGAAGCTTTTGTTTGTAATCTATGGACCTGAAGCAAACTCCACAACGAAGGACCGACTTTCGAATTGTACTAATTGTAAGACATAATGTCACATGCACAAGCTGCTTCGCAGCTATACATATACTCCTTATGTAGGATATACCTCACCTCTTATCGACCAGTATTCGATAAAGTAGATTACCTTGAACAACGGAATAAATTCTCCAATTGAGTTATCGTTCAGAGATCCATGGCAGTACGTCAGTAAAACATCAATTTTTACAGCGGAGCAATCAATAATTGAGCTGAAATTTTTTGTTTGAACTCTTATTTCATTTAGAAAACCAGTCTCTCTCTATTACTTGACAAGTATACCGCCTGTTATAGGACTAACAGCAAAAATCCATGATCAGGGGTACTGTCATCTGAAAGTCCGAGTCGAAAACTCAAAAGGTGCCGCCACCACACTCAGCAACAAAAATCAAAAAAAAAATTTAAAAAAATCAAATCTCGGACAGGTGCTTGGCCCGATCAAACAGGATTCTGTGCTTGCTGATTCTCTGTCCCCCATAGTCATTGTACAATTGTATGGGCAATTCAAATGCCTTTACGATCAAAAATTAAGGCCAACCGAGTGGCGCATTCTATTATAATGGATCGACAAGTTGACCCTTTACACTCTTGAAATCGATGGCTGCGACAATAACTTACCCTAGTTTTCCTAGTTCATAGCCAGTGAGTCCTATATACCGTATCTTTCCTGAGTGGCGAGCCATTTCAAGAGCTTCTAATGTCTCATACAAAATGATATTTTCCTGAGGTGTAAAGTCTGCATCATGAATCTGAACATGAACTGATTTTCATTCAAAATTTTCCTAAACAGAGGCATATCAATGCTGATACTGGGTAGCTCACCTGAACATGTGAGCTTCAACCGTTTCAAACTGTTTGTCAATGACTCCAACACCTTGTCGGCACGAAAATCAAATGTCCTCGCGTAGTCCAACTCAAAACGGCCAACCGAAAACATGCTGTCATCTTTAAGTGGTCAGAGAAAAAGAGGAAACTACCATTCATTTGAAGCCGACTAATTTAGTTTAGGCTCCACTGATTAGTATCAATATAAAAAAAAGAGAAAGCAGAAACTAGGAAAAATGAGGAAGTTTGAACTAGGAAAACTGCTTCTTAAGCTTTCAGAGACAAATCTGGAAAAGATCTTACCTTTGTGCTTATGTAGTACGCCTTTCGTGGTACCTTCGAGAGCACCTGTTCAATTAGCTGATATAACTTAATAGAAATCTCATGATCATAATCAAATGAGTATACCTTGCCGAGTATTGACTCACTACGTGACTGCCCGTACCAATATGCCGTATCGATGAAGTTGATGCCATTTCGAAGAGCCGTCTCAACTATCTGGGTGATTGAGTCGTCCACATTCCCAAACATCCCACCAATTGGCGCAGAACCTGAGTACTTCAAGTTTAAGGGACAAACCTCATTCGATATTTTAAAATCACTTTATTTAGGAAAAAGGCGTGATTGGGATCACGGTACTCGTCGCAATATCTCGGAGGCTAGAAATGGTGTTGTGAGGNCGCATTGGCAAACACATTTGGACAGCTTGCCCAGGCACCTCCTTCATGCAACTTTTTTTTTGCAGTACTGAAAATGGCTGAGACTGAATAGCTTCCAGAAAAACGTTAGTCCAGGAAAACTCACGACCTTATTATAGACCCCAGGCAGATAACACTTATTATTTTTAGATGCTGAAGAAGTACTCAAAGAATAAAGTGAAGACGGGGTGCTCACCAAAACAGATCTTAGAGACGATCATTTCAGTCTGACCAAGTCTTCGGTAAGACATACGTCGAACTGCCGCCTCGTCATGAAATCGGACCACATATGTTGGTGGTAAGGAGGGCTACAATGAGGTGACATTCGTGTGAGATAGATAAGCTATTCGAGAAAACTCACATCACTCTCTGCAGGTCCGTTACGCAGTCTATTAGGCGCCACCGACATGGAGCGAGGAACATGATGGGACGTCGAAGGCTGCAAATGAAGTCATTTCTGTGCTCGGAACAGAATGTCGCTGTCACCTCATTATTTTTAAGAGGAATATTTTGGGCCACGATCAACTATAAAGATAAAGTTCTTGGCGTTAAACAATCTCGTCGTAGGGATGGGCCCCCGCACTCGACTCCCATTCAGAATCGTAGTGGCGTAATGAGTGCGTGTGTGGCCTATACAATGACTTGCGGTGGCCAGCCGACGTACAAGTCAGTGCTTTTCTCCTCCCAGATGGGTCTGGTACCAGTTCACCGACCCCGGGGGGATGGAAGGCTTGGTTGGCCTAGGCGGGCATCGATCCGGGATCCGAACCCGTGATCGTGCGTGTGATATAGTGCGCCACTTGCCACTAGACCACCTTGCTGGATGGAAAAACTTCACGCCATCACTTTTTTTCTACACATCCGGTTCTGTAGAAGTAGAACCACTCATAGCGCGGGGCAATTCTTAGCTAGTCGTCCTGCCGCACGCCATTCATAGTTATTTATCTCACATTGAGACACCGTTCGGAACTATAATCCTCTCCATGAATCTGCGGTTAGAAGTCGTCCCAATAGTGATTTTTCAGATCTGACGTCTCCTACCAGTTAGTTAGTTCAGTTACTTCATTGTAAACCCTACAGTACTGCAAACTCAAATGTTGCTGACAGGTAAAAGGTTATCGGAAACTGTGGGATACGGTAGCACGCTAGATGTACGGTAATACCTGCTGAGCATGAAGAGAATGATGCGATACGCTGCCATTCATGTACACGGGTACGCCCCGTGCACGCGAAAACGTATGCGATTGCATTCTACGCCATTGCCATATGAACCTTGATCTAAACGGACTCTATTTTAAAAGTATTATAGTAGTTCATCCCGAATAAAAAAACAGCCGCACATTTTCTTAAACAAGCTGCAGCACTAGTGGCTACTTTCATAGCCGGCGATTTGGCTCGCTAGCGTGCGAGCGAGCGACTGAGGCGGCGCTTCCCCTTGTTTACAACTAAATCTTGGTCGATGCCGCCGGACGAGTAGTCTCCCGTCGCTCGCTCGCTCGATCGATCGCGAGCCAAATCGCGGACTATGAAAACGGGTGTGTGTACATTCGTGCGATTCGAACTGCGCGGGGCCAAATTCGTGGAGATTCGAAGGACTTTGGCCCCCATCATTGGGGCACAAACTTGTAATAGAATAGTTGAGTAGGGTCAGCTGATCCTACTAATATACTCTACTCCCAATTTGGGTACAAATAATAGACGCTAAAATCGTAAAAATCACGATGAATTTCGCCACGAAAATGTTTGTCGCGCGCAGCTCAAATCGCACGAATGTACCGTCCCCTCTATGAAAGCAGCCAGTGAGGCCGGCGCTATTTCTAACATTGGATAAAGCATTTGTGAAGAAGGGAGGTTAAATGAGAAGCACACAGAGTCGAGAGAAAAAATGGGAAAACGAAAAAAAAACGCGAACGAAATATTACCAA